CCCTACTCAGTGAGCCACAGGCACCACCCGGAAGCTGCTATCTTTGAAAATCAGTCTCACATTTCATTAAAAAAAATCCCATTCTAAAATTTTGCAACATAATGGAGTAAGAGTTACAATCCAATTTCAGCTCCACTGCTGACTAAATACTGAATCTCCCTGTGTCTTGATTTCTCCAACTGCAAAATGGGGATAATTATACTTATTTCTCAGGGTTGGGAATAAGATATGAAGTTATGCAAATAAAACATTTGGCACAGGGTGGCGCCTGTGGCTCAAAGGGGTAGGGCACCGGCCCCATATGCCGGAGGTGGCAGGTTCAAACCCAGCCACGGCCAAAAAAAAAAATTGGCACAGTACCTAGCAGACAGGAGCCACAGAAAGATACCTGCTGATAGCTATCACCTTTCTTTTAAAAAGACTTTCATGCTAGGGGCCGATACAATAAATAAACCTTATATGTCATTAATGACGTGCAGTGTAGCCTAGAGTGAGTCAGATCTGAATGCAAATTTCAGTTCTGGACAATTCATTCTTCCTTTCTGCACATCACTTTCCTCATCAATGAGAAAAATAAACTTGATCTTATATAAAATGAAATACCACATAAAACACCTAGCACACTGCCTAAAATATGGCAGCTGCTAAATAAATGGTCGCTGTCATTATATCATTATTTTTTGTAAAAAACAAGCAAGGGATATCACAAGTCAGTGACTAATATACAAAGTCTGCAAAAACAGATCTAGATGGCTTGGCGCCTGTGGCTCAAGCGGCTAAGGCGCCAGCCACATACACCTAAGGTGGCGGGTTCGAATCCCCAGCCCGGGCCCGCCAAACAACAATGATAGCTGCAACCAAAAAATGGCCGGGCGTTGTGGCGGGTGCCTGTGGTCCCAGCTACTTGGGAGGCTGAGGCAGGAGACTCGCTTGAGCCCAGGAGTTGGAGGTTGCTGTGAGCGTGATGTCATGGCACTCTACCCAGGGGGACAGCTTGAGGCTCCATCTCAAAAAAAAAAACAAAAAAACAGATCTAAATGAAAAATGAAGGAGTAATTTTTTCCTCTTCTTCTTTAACTACTATTATCAATAGGTACTATTAATTAATGTCAAGCCTAGGCTGTTTGCTTTAACCCTATGTTATTTCATTTAATCTTCTCAATGCTTCAAAAGAAGTATAATGATGCCCATTTTACAGATGCTGAAACAGAACTTCAGAGTAGGATTAAGCCAATATCCAAGGACATGGAGCTAATAATAGCCCAGCCCTATTTCATCAGAACTGTTTGCAAAAGTCTGGCTCAGAGTGACGTTTCCATATCTAGGTTTTGCCCTAATATAGCCAATGCCTAACTCACTCTTACAACCAAATATGGCTGTAAAATAATGTGGGGTTTTCTGTTGTTTTGTTTTTCAGGGTTTTTTTTAATCTACAGGGTCTGAATCTGGTTGCTCCATTTAAGACAGGTTTCCTGGTGTTCCTATTGTGGGTCATAATACCAATCCACAAAGCAACAGGAAATCAAAACGGATTAGAAATAAACAACCTTTGACAGAAAACGTAGCACCCAAAAGGAGACCCAGTACATGTGAACCGGAAGACAACTCTATAAATAAACCACATTGCTGAAATGCTTAAGGCGTGGATTTTTATTGCACAGGAGTCAGGAAATTTCAAAGTAGACGTTCAATAAAGGCAGTCCCTTAGATCCTTTACCTTAAGGACTCACACATTAACATTCGGTTCAGCACAGATAAAGAATTAAAGGTTAGGAAAGAAATTTGTTATGAGAGCCCAAGTAATCACTAACAAAATTAACCTACACACAGCAGTAATGTGGTGGAAGTGTCTAGGCTTTCGATGCATTCTGGAACTGGAATCTCAGTACCCCCACTTAGCAGCTATGTGACCTTGGGTAGGCCAGTCAGCCTCTCTGAGCAACAGTTTCTACCACATCATCATGATGACATTAAGAAGCCTTTGAAACAGTAATTATGGCCCTGAGAACAACAGCTAACACTTATGTAATAATAACTATGTGACAGAACTATTCAAAGTGCTTTATATGCATTAACTCATTTGAGACTCATGATAACCCTGTGAGTACTATGATTATCCCCATTTTACAGATGAGAAAACAGAGGTGCAAATAAGCAATTTGCTCAAGTTTCAAATTCAGGCAATTTAACTCCAGAGTCTGTGCTCTTAACCACAGTGTACATAAAATAGTCAGTATAGCAGGGCTCAGTGATACATGCTTATCATCCTAGCTACTGGGAGGAGCTGAGGTGGGAGGATTGCTTGAGCCCAGAAGTTCAAGGCCAGCATGGGCAACATAGCAAGACTCTGTCTCCAAATAAAACAAAACCAAAAAACCCCACAAAAAGTACAATACCTGGGATCTAGTAGTTATACAGTAAATAGCAGCTGTTATAATAGTGTTTAACTGTTGAAAATTTAAAAGACTACATTAAAGATAAATTCTTTTTCCAAAGTTGGGAGTCTCAAAACTTGAATTTCCCCATTCTTTCTTGAAAGTACATTTCAATTTTGGAAAAAGCTAGATGATGAACTCAAAGCCCTGGCTCCTAGCAACCCCTTCCAATCTAGCTGTATACTAGCTCATAATGTATACCTTTTTACAAATATGAGTGAGTACATACACAGGTCCTTTCTGTATACAAAACACTTTCACATGTATTATCTTACTTGATTCTCACTCTCAATAACCAAAGAGTGGTCATTACCACCCACATTTTACAAGAAAAGCAAACTGATCTTTCATTTCTGGGTTTTTTTTTTTAAGTTTTTAATCTTCCTTTCAAATGTCTTAGTTTGAAGGTTTTTAACTTTCTTTTTATTTAGTTATTTATTTATTTTTAATTGAGAGAGTCTCACTTTGTGGTCGTTGGTAGAGTGCTGTGGCATCATAGCTCACAGCAACCCCCAATTCTTAGGTGATCCTCCTTCTGTTCCAGGGTTTTCTTTCTTTTTTTTTTTTTTTATACAAAGCCTCAAGCTATCCCCCTGGGTAGAGTGCCGTGGCTTCACAGCTCACAGCAACCTCTAACTCCTGGGCTCAAGCGAGTCTCCTGCCTCAGCCTCCCAAGTAGCTGGGACCACAGGTGCCCGCCACAACGCCCGGCTATTTTTTGGTTGCAGCCGTCATTGTTGTTTGGCGGGCCCGGGCTGGATTCGAACCTACCACCTTAGGTGTATGTGGCTGGCGCCTTAGCCACTTGAGCCACAGGGGCCGAGCCTGCTCCAGGGTTTTCAAATATGCCTGTGGATGTGCCTGATGATCTCCCTTCATCTCTTTAACTGACTACCTCCTATTTTTCTTTCAGATTTCAGCTTACCCATCACATTCTCAGAGGATGCCTTCCTTGGCTGCCTCCTACAGCCCAAGTAGGTCACATGTCCTGCAGTCCACTTTCATAAAATCCTATACTTCATCATGAGACTTAATTTATAATAATAAAAGCTAATGTGTGTAGAATTGAGTACTGTCTAATTCCCTCCACATGACTGAAAGCACTGAAAGTTATTACTTTATGGTTGTTTTAGACATTGCTGTATCCCTGTGCCTATCAGTGCCTGAATACAAGATATTATACAAATGTGACAAATACATGAATGACTATCCAGAAACATCCCTTGCCCACTATCAACCACAATTGGAATATACCCCTCCTGTGACTGGTTCTGGGGCTCCCAATACTGACTCCATTATCTCTTGGTTTGCCATTTTTTCTTTTTTTTTTGAGACAGAGTCTCACTCTGTTGCCCAAGCTAGAGTGCTATGTGTGGCATCTGCCTAGCTCACAGCAATCTCAAACCGCTGGGCTCAAGGGATCCTCCTGCCTCAGTCTCCCAAGTAGCTGGAACTACAAACACTTGCCACCATGTCCAGCTAATTTTTCTATTTTTAGTAGAAAAAGGGTTTCACTCTTGTTCAGGCTGGTCTCCAACTCCTAAACTCAAGTGATCCTCCCTCCTTAGCTTCCCAGGCATGAGCCACCGCACCTGGCCAGTTTGCCAAATTTTTATTAGAAACAGTAAGGCATGTTCTTTTCTAAATTCAATGTTATGTAGGGACAGGTACTCACAATGCCTAACTACACACAGAGTCCAACACATCACTGTAACAACCAAAGAAGGGATGAGACACTTTAAACAGGTAGAGAAAGTGTTTTCACCTAAGACATCAGAGAACTAAAATCCAATATTTCTACTTCATCATTCCCCGCCATCCACTCCTTTTAGATTCATAACCACCCCATCCAAAAAGCACTTGTGGCAGGTCTAGCACTGACTTGTGACTTGGACCAAGCCATTTTTCCCAACCAAGTTTTGTTTCTTCCACTAAAAAAGGGGGGGGGGGGTCAGACAGGTTTTTATCCTTTAGAAGATTCTGGGAAATGCAAAAGGTTGTTAAAGGAAAAGGCACCAAACTCAGAGAAGACTGGGAAAGAATCTTGGTTTCAGGACTTCCTAGAGATGTGACCTTTGATCAAGCTTTCTGGACTTCAATCTCATCTGTAAGACTTAAATGACAATACTGTATGCACTGGGTTATGTAAATGGAGAAGTACGGAAATGACAAATGATTTGCCGCTGCGCGGCACACGGCTTTGGGGTCAGATAGACCTCCATTTAAGCTGTTATACTTGCCACGTGACTCTAATAGTTATATTTGAGCTTCCGTTTCTTCAACATGGGAGATAATAATACCTCTTCCCCAAAAGATTATTCTGAACAGTAAATGTTCCTGCCAATTAGGGTGCAACTATATAGTGGCTACTTAGTAAGTACCCCTCCCCTGCCTCTCATCCCCTATCTGGTGAGTCCCACCCCCATCCCGTGAGACTCACTCTAAAAGCCACAGATCCCGCCCCCCGGCCTTAAAGGTCAAGCCGAACTCGAAATGAATGGGTCAGAGGCGCTAGTCTGGTCCCCTGAGGTCTCCCAGAGGTCCTTGAGTAAGGGTCTCCAGCACCTGGACCACACGCGCGTCCCGAGGCCCTGTCAAGGACACTCACCAGCTACCGCTCAAGTTACTGAGCAAAGACTCCTGCGACGGCAGCGAGCACGACGGCGCTGCGCAGTGACGTCAGGAGGCGGGACGGCGGCGCTGGCGTAGAGCATCACGGGTGGCCTGGTGGAGGGCGGTGTTGCGGCGGACGCGTCGGGAGGTCTGTAGGTCTGTGGAGTCCGGACGTGTTTTCGGGGCATGAGCTGAGGGCACAACGCCGACGCCACGAGGTGGGTCCCCCAGCGACGCGTTCCTGTACCTTAGGGCTGGCCTCGCGAGGAGGTCTTTGAAGAGGCTCCCCAGCAGGACGGCTTCTCAGGCCCCGCCCCGGATTGTCCCGCCGCTGGCCGGGAAATCACAATCCGAGTAATGACCCCGCGCCTCTGGGAATTCGCGGCCAGGAATCGGAAAGCCGGGGTTCTAGGCTTGACCCTGCCGTTAGCTTTTGGGATCAGGTGCCTTTGCTTCTCTGGACCTCAGCTTCCCTAAATGCTGTTCTGCTTCCAGGGTGATTGCAGCTCCGCTGGGAGGATAGATGTAAGAGCGTCTTGTGAACTCTGTTAATCTAAGGGATTGCCTCCGTTGCAAACTCAAAGGATTTGCCATACTGTCTTGATCTTTTATTATACTTTATTCTTCCTCAAAAAGCCCTATGCTGAGCTTTCATCGATGGTCTGTTTATGAATATTTAAGAGATATGGAGCATGGTTCCTAGGAAAGAAGAAACTAAGGCTCTGAGCAGAGAAGTGGCTTGCTTCATTTAGCAAATATTCGGCACCAACCATAAACCAGGAAGTGTACTAAGTGCTGGAAATAGAACCCTGATCAAGATTAGGAAGGCCCTGTCCTGTAGGAACTTACATTCTAGTCAGGGGAAAACAAAAGGCAAAACATTAAATAACGCATTGGATTAGCGTTATATGGGAAGAAAAAGGTAGTTATGCTGTAAAATAACAGGGGGCTCAGCTCTACTAGGGAAAGCTTTTCTATGAAGAGGACGCTTAGAGGGAGATCATGTGACTTGCTAAAGACACAATAGGTGCAAAAGCAAGGTTTGAATCCACTGCTCTTCCCATTAAAGCATTGCACCTTTTGTACCTTTTTGTGGTATTAAGTAGCTTTTGCATTATCGCTGTTTTTGTACATAAGAAAATGAGAAGATCCTGTCATTCAAGTTTCAAGGGAAATGTCATCTCCTTCAGAGACGGTAACATTTCCTCTCCACTCAACCTGAAGTTGTCCACCCTCATGTTACATCATCTTGCTTAATTGTTTACAACATTCATCACAAATTATATATTGTTTATTTTACTTTTTGTTTCATCTTGCTCCTTTTCCAAGTGAAAGCATCCAGACAACAGGGACCTTGCTTTTTACTTCTCGGACTCCAGTAACTAAGGCAATGCCTAGAAAATAGAAACTCAGGACACTTCTTTTTAATGGATGATTTGTCAAAAAAAAAAAAAAAAAAGGCGGGGAGAATGGAGGGAAGATAAAAATGTTTCTCCCCTGTGTACTATCTTGGGATTCTATTTTATGTCTGTTTCACCTTTCAGAAGATAGAAAAGTAAGAGCTATGGTTCACTCATTTCTCTGTTTTCAGTACATAGCCCAGGGTTTATAGTACCTAGTTGCTTGTTATACATTCCTGAATGTATTGAAGACATACGTGGGAAAGAAAGAAAATACTCAGGTGTGCTGGAGGTAGATAAATATGTTCAGCCAACAATTACCTAGGGACTGCGTGTGCTGGGCTTTATGGGATGAAGTGAATAAAACGTAATGGCAGTGTCAGTATATGTCACCTGTTTGTTGTTGTTGTTTGAAGATAGGGTCTCACTCTATTGCCTGAGCTAAAGTGCAGTGCAGCCTCAAACTCTCAGGCTCAAGCAGTCCTCCTACCTCAGCCTCCAGAGGAGCTGGGGCTACAGCCACATGTCACCATGCCCAGCTAATTTTTTCCATTCTTTGTATAGATAGGATCTCTCTTTGTTGCTCAGGCTTATCTTGAACTCCTGGCTCTTATGATCTCTTACCTCTGCTCCCAAAGTGCTAGGGTTGTAGGAATGAGGCGCCATGCCCAGTGGAGCTGTTATTAAAACACAGTTCCCGGCTCAGCGCCTGTGGCTTAAGCGGCTAAGGCGCCAGACACATACACCTAAGGTGGCGGGTTCGAATCCCCAGCCCTGGGCCCGCCAAACAACAATGATGGCTGCAACCAAAAAATGGCCAGGCGTTGTGGCAGGCGCCTGTGGTCCCAGCTACTTGGGAGGCTGAGGCAGG